TCTCAACTGCATGGTGAGACCCTGTCTCAAAAAAAGAAAAAAAAAAAAAAAAAAAAAAAAAAAAAAAAAAAAAGGAGAGGGGAGCGGAGAGGAGGGGAGAAGAGTTCAGTAATTATTTAGAATAAAGTTATTATGGATAACAAGGTCATAAAGTTACTGGTCATTTTCCACACAATTTTCTATGAATTGATTTGTGATTTTTCCAATTCAAAAGTATCTGGGCACAGTGGTGCGTGCCTGTAAGCCCAGATTGCAAGTTCAAGGCCAACATGGGCAATTTAGCAGGACCTTGTCTCAAATCATAAAAAAGGCTAGGAATATGGCTCAGTGATACAGCACTTGCCTAGCATGCACAAAGCCCTAGGTTCAACCCCAACACTGAAAGAAAATAAATAAAGCAGGAAATGCTTTTATAATCCCATTACATATTATTCACAAGTCACTAAATGAGCTTTAGATTCTTCTATATTGAGGACCAACAGACTATACACACAATAACTGTAAAAATAACTTTTTAGCACAAAGTGTAGCAGTAACTATACCACAAGGTATAGTCAAAACATCTTCACTTCTCTCCCTACTGCCAAACAGAACTGCCACCTACCACCTCTCAGCTACACGTAAGAACAGAACACTGCCAAATAACAGAAAAACAAACAAATGGAAGATGTTAGTTTCCTCGTTTTTTTAAACTAACCTCATTCAAGATCACATACAGTTTGTGGAGTTTTTTACAGACTAAATTATGTGTCTAATAAGAAATATGAAAAATTATTCCACATGTTTAGTAAAACTGCTTTGAAGATATGCCCAAATGGTTGTTCCACATCTCTTACATATTAATACTCCTAAAACTTAAATGGTTTTTAAAAATGACACAAAAGTGTCTTTCTTTTAAAACTTGGTGACTTCTAAAGATACTCACCTAATGTATACCAGGGATAAGATATAAAAGACTATATTCTTTTTATTTCCTAGGAGAAAGTTTTAAAGCTAAAAGGTATTTTCAAAGCATTTACACTTCAGGGAAAATAGAAAATAAAGCTTTTTTTTTTTTTTCTTGTCTTAACCTGTATTCAAGTGTTATAATAATAACTGCATGTTTTTTACTAAATCTAGCAATCTCTTATTCTTCATTACTTGGCTTTAAACAATTTAATGGTCCTCTGATTTATTTTAAGCCATCAGTTATTTTTTAGAGGTAGGCTGAATATATCTAACATATAAAACAATAAACAAAAAATACCACTTAATACAAGGAGTATAAAATATGTCAAGAACTAAATGAACCTTTAATAATAGACTTTGTTTCAAAGTGACATACAAGACAAATGTAGCTATGTGACTTTCGATAAGTTACTTTCCACCTCAAGAGATGATAAACATGAGCTTTATTAACATTAGATTAGAGCTTTTTACTTTTTCTTCTTAGCAAAGAAACTTTAACTTCTACATGGAGATGAAGACAGAGGAAAAAAAATGTTGTCCTGGCTAAGGTTAGGGATGAGGGATAAAGGTACCACTATGTGGCAGCAGCATCATTTCAAGAAACCAGAAGTTTTGGGCAGTATAGTTTAAAATCCAACGTTAACTCATGGTACTCTCCTCCAATTCTAAAATTCACTATGCATCAAAGCCACAGGTTTCCTGCTCAGTAACCACATAGTTTAGATAGAAAGCTTAATATACTTAGTACACAAAATGTACCTAAAAGTTTCTGTGGGTTTTTTTTTTGTTTTGTTTTGTTTTTGTTTTTGTTTTTTGAGACAGGGTCTCACTGTGTAGTTGAGACTGACCGAGAACTATGTAGCCCAGGTTGGTCTCAAACTCACAGCGATCCTCCTGCCTCAGCCTCCTGAGTGCTGGGATGCACCACCACACCCGGCCCTAAAAGTTTCTGTGCTAAACACAGTGAGAAATGAAACAAAAATGTTTAATTCTACTTACATACCTATGTACACTGTACAACAATTTTAAAAGTTTTCAAAAAAAAAGTTTTCACCATTAAAAATTACAAATTCACAATATCCAAGAATATCAATAGCAAAATATATATATATATATATATATATAAATATTCATAAGCTCTAAGTATATCCATATACCCAACTGCCACAAGTGCCGTTTAGAAACTAGAATTATAAATCAGTAAGAACTAATTAACAAAGTTTTCATTAATTCATCCTCATATATCATGGAATATATCTGCTGATTCAACTTAAGACATTAATACCACATTGCTAAAGAAAAATAAATTAGAGATGCATACCTTTACAAAGATTTTCATATAGGCTCTCAACAGTTAAAAGTAAGTTCTTTTCCACAACTAATCCAAATACAGCCAACCAATGTTTTTTAAAGCACTGTAATAAATGTATTAGAGTCCACGGTGGTTTCAAGTACAGCATCTAAAGAATATTTTTTAAACATTAGCATCTTGGATTTATTATTCCTATTATTTAAACACACCTATTGAGAAATTCCCATGCATATTTCTGGATAAAATATAGTTAACAAAATTATTTTAAAAAGTAAAAGATACTTTATGAAAAGCTAATTATCTTAAAATACTAACTTCCTCTCAAGATGTTTTTGTAAAATTCATATTATAATTAATCTTTATAGTTTCAGAAACAGTTAAGTACAAAAAGAAAGATTTAGCTCAGTGGCACCACACTTGCCTCACAAGCACAATGATCCCTGGTACCAGAAGAAAATAATAGTAATAATATTAAAAAGAAAGGAGAGTTCTATTCAGGGAGGAAGGTATTTTAATAAGCCAAGGTCCTTCAATCTACTTTTCAGAATAGCGACTCCCAAGAGGAAATCAATCTAATTATTTCATATACCTGGGGTAAAAAAAATTTAGCAACAGAAAAAAAGACGTCAAATGTACATGCCACTTGTTAAACACTTATAAAGACATGTTTATACAGAAAATTGACCACTTAATTCTATAAGGTATCGACACATTTTTCTGAACCATTCATATTTTTACTATGAAATGCCCAATTTAAATCAACACTCCTAGAATCTGCTGATCAGTCTTCATTGTTTGGGTTCAATACTTAATAATATAATTAAGTAGTAAATGCATCACACTGGCAAATATTAAGAATCTCAATAGCTGGGATAGAGCTATAAGCTACAACTGATAGGCTGTAAAGTTTCTTTAGGAGATGTCTATCTAAGGGAGGGCACGGACAAGGGGAAAAAATGAGAACCAAGACTTGTCATGTAGAGGTACAAGATCCTAACCCTAACTGTACTGTATCCCTAAAATGTACCAATACACTCAAAGCTGAAAACAAAACAAAAGAGATGTCTATCACTTAACTGTAAAACAATTATTTACAAAGTTTTTGTAAATGAGGGGAAGAGGACTTGAAAAGGGGGGATGGGAAAGAAAGAAAGAAATATGATACATCATGTATAGGTACAAACTCCCTATGAGGAATGTTATCATTATGTATATAAAAATGTACCAATAAAATTTAAAAATGCAAAACCCCACTTATTTCAAGAATTGGGCAATAAAAATTTAATGTCATATAGATTATAATGAAGCTTATTTGTTTTATACAAATAATTCTTAGGATAACAAAACTTCAGTAATAAAAAAAGAAACTTTCAACTAATAAAACTGAACTAATCACCTCCATCCAAAGGTTCCCAAAAGCAATTTTCATTTCTGTTTCTAATATTGAAGATAAAGCTGTTCCAAGAGATCTTTCAAGATCAGTTATAATGCGTTCGAGTACAATGGATAGTCCAGAATTGGCAGATTTTTCGTCAGAGGTCTCTTCTACAGGTTTTGCTTCTTTAAAACAAATAAGTATGCACTTTATTTAGGGCACTGGTATTATTTTACATATAATTAGTATTTGGCCATAAAAAATAGACATTTATATATATAGTGGTATTTGAATTAATTAGAAAACAAAAAATACTTTAACAGTATTTAGAAACATGTGTCTCTATGAGTTAAGATGCAACATTAATATATTACTTTAGCCATGCTTTATCTTTTGACAAAAAAGGGAATTAAATATTTTTACTAAAATGAAAATTTGATATTTTAACTACAATTTTATTATTTTCAAACAAAGAAGAATTACATGAATTTGGTGGACTGATTTATAACAGAAAAACCAAAAACTAGGCAAAATAGGTATTGCTCCAGAATTAATACATATTTCCAAACATATCCCTTTATCAATAACTGTTTTGAAACAATATTCATGCCCTCCCCTTTTAAAACAGGCTTTCTATTACTTTAATTGATAACCATTTTTTTGATATTTGAAAACTGCAAAATTTCTTGCAGTAAAATTCAAAGGATCAAGTGGTTTATCCCAAAAATTATAAGCTGAGGATTTTAAATAACAGTACTAACTGTCTGTAGGGCAAACTAAAATCACACTGTCCTGAAAAGCCATCAACTATAATACATTGTTATTCTTCCCATGTGCCATTTTTAATATTATGAAAAAAGATGTTATTTCAAAAAGATAAATAAGCAGAACATATTATATATGGATTATAAACATTTATACAAATTACATATAAAAAATACATCCAATATTAGAGATTTCAATAATTATTTTCCCCACAAGGAAAAGGTGGGATGTTTTTAAATATCATTATTTCAATATTCTATCAATTATCAAGCTGCAGAACATATTATTCCTTTTAAAAAGAGGTAAGATAGGGCCAGGGATTTAGCTCAGTGGTTCTGCAGCTTACCTCACAAGTGCAAGGACCTGAGTTCAATCCCTGGCACTAAAAAAAAAGGTAAAACAACACTATTGCCTTTACCTTTCTTAATTATTAGTCTAAAATTTAAGTAAACTCTTACTAGAATCCTAGAAGTTTCTCAATTATTAATAGCTGAGTTTTTACTGTATGAATTTGAAGCTAATTTTAAAAAGAAACAAAATTACTTCAAATGTGTATTTCCTATAGCTACTATTAACTGGAAAGGTACGGCAAGGTACAAATTAACATGCACACAATGATTATAAGTCATAAAACTGCATGTGAGCACACATAAAAATAAGATTAATTTGCACAAATATATGTATAGTAGGCAATAATGTTTCCATTTATATTATCATAATTTTCATTTATTTCTATGCCAGCATATATTCAAAATTTGATGTTAGTTTCAATGCACCAGATGAATATTTACTATTCATTAGAAAAGTTATCAATGATCTTAGTGCCTAAAATAAGATGTATTTCTAGTTATTCAGAGTAAAAGTACTACCTGCTTTCAATTGTTGCTTAGATATACAAGGCGGATGACACACATCTGTGTTCAGGGATAAGGTTAATAACTCTGCACTTAATTCTTCTTTACTGAGTGACTTCACACCACTTATAAGGCCTTTGCTTCTTAAGTTTCTATCATCCCTAAGTTGGAATTAGAAGGAAAAAATATTTTTATAAGATAAGCTATATGGTAATTCAAAATACATGGGATCTGGTCAAAGGCTGTTGAGTCTCAGTGTATATATTAAAAATAATAATTATTTAAATAGATGATAAATGGGTTCATATACAGTAGCAACATACCATACAAACTTCTGCAAATACTTATTATTTACTGAGTATTGCCCTGGTACCAGGCAACATTCTCATCTATTAAATGCTCTTAACAAACCTCTGAGGTAGAAGAGGTACTAATTTTATTCCTAATTCACAACAGAAACTGTGATTCAAAGAGGCTAAGTAATTTGGTCCAATTATACTGAATAAGTGAGAATCTGAACAAGATCTAAAGATTGACATGAGAGAAATAGACAACAGTGGTGTGAAATATCATTTATACAGGGCAGACAACTACAAATTTACTTAGAATGAGCATAAGACAAATAGTGTGAAGTTACTATTTGCTGAAATTTTCTGTGATTAGAACAGTGTATAAAATGAATTTACGGACATTAGTAAATGAAAAAACATTTTAAACATTTCAATGGGGACGTGACATGATCAGATCCGTTTTTTTTTGTTTTTTTTTTTGGTACCGGGGATCAAACTCAGGTCCTTGGGCTTGTGAGGCAGGCAGCAGAACCATGAGCTAAATCCCCAGCCCAGATCTGTGCTTTTTAAACTATTCTGTTAATGGCAAAGTAGCTTGTTCAGACTCACATTCCCACAAATGGGAATTATAAAGTCTACACACACACACACACACACACACACACACACACAAACACAAACAATCTATGTAAAAGCACTAGGAAGTAGGTAGGCTGAGTCTAGAGAGGTATGCACAGAAAGTACACTAATGAGAGATACAAGTTTCTTTGTGTACAAGGGCATTCCTCAATTTGTCAGTTGTACATGACAACAGAAAGCCATGGGCATAATGACTTGAAATGTCAGAACCATCTATACTGACTGGGATGTTGAGGAGGAAACTAAAAGGAAGAACCCGCAGCGTAAGAAACCACAAACATCTGCATATGATTCTGTCCAGAAAACAAAACAAAACAAAGACACCAGGCATGGTGGCCAATCCCTGTAATCCCAGCACTCTGGGAGGCTGAGGCAGGAAGACCACAAGTTTGAGCCTTGCCCGGGCAACTTTGTAAATTGACAAGAACCTCTCTCAGAACAAACAAACAACAATTATAAATATATATAACAAATATATATGAATTACATACACACATTTTGAGGCTGAAGAAGGAACACTGAAAGTTTGATCCCAATCTGGGCAATTCAGCAAAACTTTATCTAAAAAAAAAAATTTTTTTTTAATTTACAAAGGCTGGAGATAGACCTCAGTATGAAGGCCCTGGATTCAACTCGCACAATAGAAACACACACACACACACACACACACACACTAATGGAAAGGGTAGATAGAACGTAAAAAGGACAGGCAGTTTCAGCAAATACAAAACTGTAGAAAGAATAAAATGGAAGTACTAGCGATTAAAAAAAAAGTAACAACATGAAGAATGCCTTGAACAGTTTGCAATAAACTAGACAAAGACAAGGAAAGAATCAATGCAAAGACAGGTCAAAAGTGAAACAAAGTATACCTAAAATGTACCAATAAACTCAATGAGAGAAAAAAAAATGAAACAAAAAAAAAAGAATAAGGTTATTTTTTTTTAAATTAGAAAGCATCCAAGAGATGTAGTACAATATACACTGTTAGAAGATCCTTAAATGTGAAGCAGTATGATATTATTTGATAGGTAGAATCATTTGATGTGTAGAATCATGACGTAAAGGTGTATATTCTAAACTCAGCAACCGTTAAGTTTTTTCAGAAAGGTTTAAATAAGTCATTAATGAAGATAAAGTGGTATCATAAAAATACACAATCAAAAAAAGGAAGACACGGACTAAACAGAAAATAATTAGCAAAATGATAGATTTTAATCCACTCAATTGAATGTGCATGTTCTAAACTCATCAAATGAAAGAAATTGTCAGACTGAACAAAAAAAGAACCCATTACAATCAGCTTTCTGCATGCACAGGCTCTGCATCTGCAGATTTAATTAACTGTGGATCAACAATATTTAGAAAGCATAGTGATACTGGTTTTTTAACATTATTCCCTAAATAATATAACAACTATTTATAAAGCATGTATATTGCTTTAGGTGTTATAAATACTTTGAGAGATGACTTCAAATATACAGGACAAGCAAAGATTATATGTAAATATGAAACCATAATATATAAAGGGTTTTTAGTGTCTATAGGAGGATTTTGATATCCAAGGGATCCTGGAACCAGTGTCCCACAGACACCAAGAGACAAGTGTATATGTTATCTATAAGAAATGGACTTTAAATAACAAGAGTTTAAAAATAAAAGGATATAAAAAGATATCCCACATAAATACTGACCAAAAGAAAGCTGAAATATCTGTATTAATACCAGACAAAAGGCACTGTAGAACAGAAATATTACCAGGAACAAGACTATATAATGATAAAAAGGTTAGTTCTCTAAGAAGACAATTCTCAACAATCCTAAATGTGTACAAACAACACTAAAAGTTTCTGCCTTTTTACCTGAGTACATACCCCAATTCAACAATGGCTGACAACAAAAAGCCACAGCCTTAATGACTTTCAGGGAGAGTGAAGTAAAACAAATCCAACAGGAAGGAGAAATAAATCCACAACTAAGAGTTGGAGACTTCAATACTCCTCTCTCACAGACCACAGAAGAACACGGGTAAGTAGTAAGGTTATAAAAGCCCTGAAGAACACTTCAACTAAATTGACAATAGAAAAATTTATACCCTTAAAAGCAGATTATACACTCTGTTCAAATACATAAAAATCCCTCATGAAGATAAACCAAAGTCTTGGCTAAAAAAAAAAAAAAAAAAAAAAAACAAATTTAAAAGAATAGAAATATAAATTATGTTCTCAAGCCATAAGGAATTAAACTATAATTCAATACAACAACAAAGAAGGTACCTGGAAATTTTACATATATTTGGACTTAGGTCACAAATAACCAAATAACCTAAAGGTCAAAGAGAAACTTAAAGGAAAATTATAAGGCATATTGAATTGAATGAAAATAAAAATATGACACAAAATTTGTGGAATACAACTGTAACAGTGCTTAAAGGGAAATGTACAACAATCTCAAATAAATGATCCAAGCTTCCAGCTGAAGAAACAAGAGCACAAGGGGTATGACAGTACTTTCTGAGATAATGCATGAGTTCTATTATTTTGAAAGGGATGTGGGTCTATGCCATTGTATACATCTGTCAACACTTCAGGTATGCGGCTCAGTGGTGCAACACTTGTCTAGCAAGCACAAAGTTCTGAGTTCCATTTCCGGTAACAAAACAAAAAACACTGAATGGTTAACATTTGTGCACTTTAATGTAAATATATTTTTCCTCAAAGTATTAACAATTATGTCAAAATAATCATGTTGCAGGATGGAAAATGATAGAGCTATAGAAGAAAGAAGAATGGTAGAATCTTAATAACTGTTATGGGTGGGTACTTAAGAGCTTGTAAACTCTTCTTCACTTTATTTCAAATACTGTTCAAAATCTCCAAAATGAAAAGTTTTTTTTTAAATAAAATGCCATTTTAAGTTTTTGAAGAATAAATGAAGGATAGTCAGTGTGGAAGTAGAGACCATAATTAGTCCTAAGTGTAAAAAAGAAAAGAAATGAAAAAAATAGCAGGGCTTCAGTGGCAGAAGAGATTTTTTAAAAAGACCATATAGGCCTGAATGGCTGGATATACGTAGATCATGAGGGAAAGACAGGTATCAAAAATGACTTTAGTAGATAGGTAGAAAGTGTAATTTTCCTTAAGATAGGTTTCTATGAGATATACAAGGCATCAAATACATATGTAAAAACATTAGTACAAAGTTTAGAAGAGGAATAGCATTGCCTGTGGAATAGCTAATCTGGTTATCACTTCTATAATCATTTTATCCATATAAAAATTTTGAGCATAATCATAAAATTGCAAAAACTCTATTGTATATTAATGAAGTTCAATCTTAAACTGCAAATTAAAATTGTTCTTCTTTCTTTTCAGAGCCTTCTCTCATACATGATCAATACAATTTTGCTTAGCAATACATTAGTTTTATCTTAGAACTAAGTTATAAAAATACTTCGGAGAATAAAAGAGGAAAGGAGGAGAAAAACTCTTAAGATTTGACCTTTGTGTGATGACAAATGCTTGTGATCCCAGCATTCTGGGAGACTAAGGAACATTCCAAGTTTGAGTCCAGCCTGTGCTACTGCCACTTAACTAGACTGTCTTAAAAAATAAAAGAGCTAGGAATGTAGCCCAGGGCAAGGCCCTGGGTTCAATTTTCCATACTGGGAAAAAATGTTTTTTGACCACTTACTAAGTTCTTTATATATTAAATACACCACTGTTGTGAGGCAGATATTTTTTTTCTGTTTATTTTACATGAGGAAGAAAAGCAAATTGCCCGAAGTCAACAGACCCAGAACTCCAAACCTAGGGGACTTAACTCTGAAACTGGTACCCAGAACAAAACTATAACATAAATTATCTTCTCCCAATAAATAAATAACCTTCTTGTCTCATATGACTAAAAACTTCTATCACATTTTGATACTGAAGTTTCTTTTCCATTTTCAAAACTTTTCTATGTAGATATTAAATGAAAATTCAATCATTTAACTCATTCCTCTAGAGTTTGTAAATCATAAAAATACCTGCTATACCTCAACATGTTTAGCATTAGCTTTAGAAAATAATTGTGCTTTCAATCCTTGGTTTCATGGATATTACATGATTTTTTAAAGTTATTTGATATAAAATTTTTTTAAAAAAAAAAGAATAAGATTACTGTGAAACTCACGTGCACAGAATTATAAGAGAACTAGGGAATAATTCCTGGTACTGAAGACAGCATTTTAATACTCGATCATCATTGTTCTCATCACTCAATCCATCTGCAAATTTAGCAAAGATAACCATCAATACACACATAAGAAATCTGAGCATCACATGAATAATCTATTTTTGCTATTTACAAGCCAAAAGTATCAAAAAAAGTTTTAGGACTATGAAACCATTCTGTATGATACAAATGGCAAATATGTATTACGTATTTCTCCAAATCAATACACAATGAATCCTACTGTAAACTACAAATTCTGGGTGACAATGATGGGTCAGTGTAGGTTCACTGATTATAGCAAATACACTGTTCTGGTGGGGAAAGTTAATTATGAGGGAGGCTATGCATGTTTGGCAGTAGGGAGTATACAGGAAATCTTTGTACCTTTTACTTAAATTTTGTTGTGAACCCAAAACTGCTGTAAAATCTATTTAGAGAAATACATCTTTAAAACTTTTTAAACTGAAAAAAAGATAGCAAAAACAATCTTACCAACTGTAGATACAGAATTCATTCATATAGACATAGTTATATATTTAAAAAGCAGTTACTTTAGAACTAAAGTAAGATATGACTATCCACAATCTCCAAACAAAGAAAATGCAATCAGTAGGGTAAAATGTCAGTCTAGAACCTAAAAATTATGAATTCTAGTCTCAATTCAGTCACTCAGAGGTTATAAGTAAATTATATAATTATATCATTTAAAATGATCTCAGAAAAAAATAAAATTAAATAAAATGATCTGTTTAAGAGGTCTGTAAACTAAGGGACAACTGTTCTACTAGCAACAGAAGCAGTCTCTCATGTCTGCCTTTCCTTAACCACTGTAGCAATAGATTTAGAGAGGCAAAGGAAACATAGGTCCTAGGCAGAGAACACAATAATGTATTTCTAACAAATATTAATCAGCTCCTGACAAGGTATCCTCTGGCATTCTCCAAGCCTTAAAACATGTAGCAAAAGTTCATTCATTCAGTTTTTGTGCAAATAACACAAGATGTTCGAAGTAGACCAAAGATGTTTTTCACAGAGCCTTACATTATCTATCTAAGAACTCCCTAGGCTGATTTTTAATAATACGGGCTGCAGGATCACAACCCTGATCCTATTTCTGGATAAGATTCTTTGGAGCCTAGACTTAGACCAGTGGTGGAGAATCTATGGCATGTAAACTGCAGTGGGCACAAAGAGCTTCTCAGCATGAGATCCAAGTCACCCCAGCAGACAAGCATTGAGTAAGTTGTTTTTTCTAAACTAAAACCTCAATATTCAAATTTAACTGCAGTGTTGTTAACACTTTGTGATAAATAAATAGGTTTGGGGTTGCAGTTTGGGTCTCTAAAATGTTCGCCATCACTGCCCTAGACCACAGTTTAAGTTCATGGTAAGTCTCTTACACACTAAAATTCAAGGTATATTATCCAAAAAGCCTCAACCTGTTCCAGCTTGTAACCTTTTTCTCATTTTTTAGCCTATCTCATTTAATCCTCTACTTATTCAAATTGGAAAACTCATTTATTCTGCAATAAATATTTATATAGAGTCAAATTTTACAAGGTCACTGAGCTAAGCAGCTAGATATGAAAAGATGAATAAACTCTAGGAGTTCACAATCTACTAGTGAAATTTAGACAATGCATAACTATCACAGAGCATGAGACTGAGGTAGTTGATTCTCAGTTTCTTCCCTAATCAGATGACAGTGAGCAGCCACACAGAAATATATCACAGTAGCCATTTCCTTCTTTTAGCTCTAAGAGTAAATAGCATGCAAAATGGGCAACTTAAAACCATTCATAATCTTTAAACAAATTCAATTTAGCAAACAAAAGGCACTTTAAACGCTATGCATTGCTCTAAGGGAACATGATTAAGCTAATGTGTAGTATCACTTCTTCTAAGACACATGAAACTGGAAAATATACTTAAAACTACATAAGATATTAAATCATTCAATAAATATTTGTGAATAAGTACTCAAGTACATATCAAAAGTGAATAAAACAAAGACTCTTGAAATAGATCAGTGTGCTTTCCCACTTCTAAGTGTTCATCCTTGGGCAAAACAGTTAATCCTAAGAATTAAATGAGTACTATAGCAATACTAAATGCTTAAAAAGTATTGTATATTTATTATTTAACCTTAAATGGCACCTCAACTGCATCAATCTTTATTCATATTCAATACAAAAATAAACCCTAGCTAATATTCTTAATAATCTAAATAGAAATTAACCTCCCTTTATCTTTCATATTCATTGCTATAGCCCCAACACTTACAGTCTTGGACAAATACATGGCAAATAATTAAGTATAATAAAAAATACAGAAACAGTGAAACAAAAAATATCTGATGGGCATGACAGATAACTATTTTGCCCTTATTTTTACATTATTAAAAATAATCACACAAAAACCTGGAAAACTCAGAAAATTAAGAACTCATAATCCCATCAGCTAAACACCATCACTACTTATCATTTACAAATATATATGCTGGGGATTTAGCTCAGTGGTTCTGCTACCTGCCTCAAAAGCTCAAGGACCCAAATTCAATCCCCAGTACAAAAAAAAAAAAAAATTATATATGCACAATTAAACAAACCTGAGACCTTTTTTTTGTTTTTTGGTCATACTAAGATCGAACCCAGGGCCTTCACATTGAGTTATATCCTCAGTAGCCCTTGCCCATTTTTTGTGTGTGTGTATGTGCATGTGTTACTGGGGAATGAACTCAAGACTGTCTCACTGAGCCCTTTTTTTTTTTTCTCTAGCCTGTTAGGGTTTCACTAAATTGCTATACTGCCTAGTCTGAGCTGAAACTTGTTATCGTCCTGCCTCAGCCTCCCAGAGTGCTGGGGTTACAGATGTGTGTCATAATGCCTGGTTAGATTTTGTTTTTATTTAAAGCTAAGAATCATTAATGTTTTTCAAAATATTGCATTCTCTTACATGATTATAGCAATGTATCTAATTCTCCAACTGTTATTAAAGTTGTTTCCAAATTTTTGTTATATAAGTAAAGCTAACTCTGAAAATAAGGCTAAAAATATAGTCGACTAAGCTATTCAGTGACTCTTACTTTTCTCATTGCTGAAATAAAATACCAACACTCAAAGTTAAAGGAGGAAAGGTTTATTCTGGCTCACAGTTTGCACAAGTTTCAGTTTATGCAGCTGGCAGGGTGACATGGAAAAGGGACATCAAAGAGGAGAAACAGTCCATGACAAAGCAGGGCAAACAGAAGGCAGCAAAAGCAGCTTCATTCTGTCCCTTTATTTTCCATTCAGAATACCAGTCTTTTGGGTGGTGCTACCCACATCCAGGGTGGTGTACCCTTAATCCCAGCATCACACACCCTAATCCTGTGAGTTCAAGACCAGCCTGGGCTACATAGTGAGTTCCAGGGCAGTCTGAAATACATAGTGAGACCCTGTCTCAAAAAAACAAAACAAAACAAAAAAATTGCAGCTGGGATTAAAAGGAAATGTCACTGACTCCAGCTAGATTAACTGTAAGATACAGTGGTATTTTGGTTCATAAACTTATTCGTTCCACCATTCTAAAAAAGATAGCCACGTTCCTATTCATGTGGAAAAGAGTGCTGCAGTCGTATTTTGTCATCCAATGCAGAAATCACAAAGAAAAATAAAATTGTGTCAAACACAGACTTGTTTGTGAACAATATGGTTCACAAGCATTTATGAACCAAAGTATCACTATCAAATTTTCAAATCTTATTGGTGGATATGGAAGCAGTAGACAGTATAAATCCGTATTTAAAATAACATTATCTACATCTACAAATAATGCTGAGTTAGGAAGAATTTTTGAAGATATGCATATATATATATATATATACACATATATACACACACACACACACAAATTTTACACAGATAACAGTGCTGTTTCACAAAATATTTTTCTATTATATTACATAAAGTATAATAAATATAGATTTTAGGACTAAAGCACAGTTGTGCACAGAATGATGTTTTAGTCAATGACGAAATGCATATACAAAAGTGGTCCCATCAGATTACAATGGAGCTATAAAATTCCTATCCCCTCATTAAATCATAACCATCTTTACACTATAATACAAAGCATTAAGTATTCATGATTATACTGGTATAAGCATACCAACTGCACTGATAGCCATATAAAAGTATAGCACATACAAATATGTACAGTATAAAATATTTGATAATAATAAATTACTATCTTACTGGTTTACATATTTACTGTAACTTTTAATGTTATTTTAGATTATACTCCTATCTATATTTTTAAAATTTACTGTACAGCCGTATGTCAATTTACTGGTAGCAACCTCTTACATTCTACGTTTATTCTCTCTTAATTACATCAAGAAAAAAAAAAGAGGCTATGCGAGAGTGAAGGATCACTAAGGTTCCTGTAAACACACTCTACATTTGCATAATAATGAGATTACCTAACCACTCCCTTCTCAAAACTGTTTGCTGGGCCTGGTGCTGAGTGCCTATAGTCCCAGCATAGAGGATCTCCACAAGTTCAAGGCCAGCCAAATTACACAGGGAGAACCTGTCTCAAAACAAAAACAAAAACAACAAAACAACCAGAACAAGAACTACAGATATTCCTCATTTAAGGACCTATCTGTTTAACAATTCTTTGAACATAGGCCCACTGCTCAGTTTATGACTCACTGCTTGGCTTATGGCCCATTTTTTTGGTACAGTTCTCTCGTTTATAGAGCCTCAAAGTCTTTTTTGTACAGTACACCTTGTATATATGGTACTGTAATTTTTGCTGATTGTACTGTACAATACAGTACTGCATGTAAGAATTATGCTAATAAAAGCAAAGTCATCAAGTTGCAGTTTCCTTCAACCATTTCTTTGTTCTGAATATTGCAGTACATGTACTATATACAATTCCTCACTTAGTGACCTACTCTAATAAGCACTCAATCTTTACACAAGGAGTATCTACATTCCCCTCAAGTGACGCCTGACAATTTTTTAAATGGCTTTTTAAAAAACTGAGAAAAAAACAAAATTAGGAAACAGTCAGACCTTATTGTAAAAGTACCTGATTATCCCAGATTCTGACAAACCACAGGAAACTGTCTCCACAGTATACTGACTACATGCAGTGATAGTATAGAAACCTAGATCATTTACTGGTCTCATTACTCAACAATGATATTTTTATAAAAGGAATCCAAGATTCTGTCATACAGACAGGTACACATACAAAACTATGTACTATTTCTGAAATAACTGAGAAAGTCTACAAGAAGCAGAAAAATAAAAAATGAGTCCCAAAATAAGTCACAAATCACCACAATGCCCTTTCCAGTTCACATTCCAATGGATATAACTAAAAGTTTTGTACCATTTCCCTCTAATAATCTGTTAGCACCCAAAAAAGTTTTTTTTAGGAATAATACTTACAAAGTTTTTGAGAAGCAAGTTGTAATGACTGACCCCATAGCTTTTTGTCTTGGCTTTTGAGACTGTCATTGATGAAATGAACTGCAGGTATAGCTTTGTGCTGGGCGTGTTTTAGTAATTTTCCTACCTTCATTCGATCTAACTCTTGCACAACAACCCAAGGAATTATTAACACAAGTCTTTCAAAGCCTAAAAAATAATAACATTTCTTAGAATGCAACAAACATTTATTGAGCTACTAAATCAAATTTCTGTGAAGCAAAATTTTAAAGCACATAGTTCCTACCTTTAAGAAATTCACAAAAACTGAAGGATAATACATTAAAAAATAGAATTTATAAAGAGGATATAAGTCAAAAGAATGCTAAAAAAGTTACTAGAGAAAAAAGAGATTAGTAGATGTGATTTCTTCAATGAAGGTTTCTAGTGTAAACAAGTTCTCAATAACCAAATGAGTAATTTTAAATTACAATGAATACTATTAAAAAGAATGAACTTGGTGGTGCATGCCTATAATCCCAGCACTCAGGAGGCTGAGGCAGGAGGATCAACAAGAGTTTGATGCCAGATTGGTCTATACAGAGAATTCAAGACCAGCCTGAACTATCTATCTCAAAAAAACAAACAGGGCCAGGGATTTTAGCTCAGTGGTGCCATCACCGCCTCACAAGCACAAGGTCCAGAGTTCGATCCCTGGTGCCAAAAAAAAAAAAAATTCAATAAAAAAGAGTGAATGAGGCGCCAGGGATTTAGCTCAATAGTGCTACCACCCTCCTCAAAAACCCAAGGTCCCGAGTTTGATCCTCAGTATCAAAAAAAGAAAAAAACGAATGTTAGACCTAGAGTAAGTAGGATAACCTATGAAGGAATTTTCTTTTAAATTAAACCACTTATGCTTTATATATGAAAGAAAGAAATATACATAACATATAGCATACCCAAATAGAAATGTTTGTGAGAAAATACACCATATTATTAATATACAATATCAACTCAAGAAAGAAAATCAGCATCTGTAGATGTGCTTTGTAAATACCTGATATTTCTGTTGTCTTCAAAATTCTAACAAATTTGAGATGATTCATCAGGATATTTGTGTCAATAACAATAAGAAAAAGCTTTTTGTCTGAAATAGTATTTGCTAGAGAAAAAGAGTAAATTTAGGATTACACGATGTTTGATAACAGACTTGCATAATGACCAAAATCTTTATATCATAGGAACATAAAAAATTAAATTTAAAACCACTCTGTGACTTATTAACTTAACTATACAAGAGAATCACACAATTGAATGGACTCTGGGCCCCTTCAACCCAGTGTGCCAGAGGAGCCCAGCCCCACAGGTGCCAACACAGCAGTGTTCATGATTCCCCACTGCTCCCCTATCCCCCGCAACAAGGGAAAGAGGGCCTCTCTGAGGCTCCTAGATGAAAACTCAAGCCCAATGGAAAAGTGAAGAAAATCTGTGATAAAGGCACACCACAGCACTAGTTGTCCTCCACTGCCTCAGAGACATTAGAAACTCAAACCCTAAAGACCAGCTATATCTGGAAGATCAAAGTATTAACCCTGGAATTAAACCAAGGACTGGACCAGTGACAAAAATAGAAATGAGAAGGCATTTAAACAAGACACAAACACACAGACTTCCATCCCACCGAAGGTAAACTCTGGGGGAAATGAGATGGAAAAGTCTGACACCCTGAACCGACAGCACAGGAAGTAACAAAACAGATAAATGAGGCCCTAGAAAAATTCAAAACAGAAATAATTTCCCATATAACCACAGAGATAGTAAGAATGAAAGACATGATTAGAGAATCTAGAACAGAAACAGATAAAAAAATAGAGGAGCTCAGGACCATGATGGAAACCACGAATGCCCAGCATAGGAAAGAAATGGAATCCACGAAACAGATTCAAACAGACATCCAGGAAATTAAAAACTATTGAAAGCATTCACAATAGAATAAACAAATGTAAAGACAGAATTTCAGATATAGAAGATAGGATTTGCAGTCAGTGACTGTGAAAAGAGAGATCTCTTAAAAAGAGAAAGGTACCATAAGAAATCAATCCAACTCTCTTATGATGCAAAGAAGAATAATATAAGACTGATAGGAAGCCATTAAGTAGCAGGAGAAAGTTCAAATCACATAAAAAAAAAAAAATGTTCACAGAATTAATGACAGAAAACTTCCCAGGGGGGAAGAATTTGACATACATATAAGTGGGGCATTTAAGACTCCAACTAGCCATGATCAAAAAAATCTATACCTAGACATGTAATAATCAAGATCCCAGAAAACCAACAGAAGAACAAAATACTACAAAGCAGTTAGAGAAGAGAAACAAATCACATGCAAAAGAATCACAGCAGAGTTTTCAACACAAACCCTCAAGTCTAGGAAAGCCTGGAGTGAGGTATTTCAAGTACTAAAAGAAAACCTCCAACCTAGACTGATGTATCCTGAATGGACTCTGAAGCTGACAGCATCACTTTGTTGCCAAGTACATTTCCCCATAATCAATCAAGGGGATATAGGGCAGGAACCACAATCCCTTTTTGGTAGAGAGAGGTGGGGATGGAGGAGGGATGAGTACTGACAGGGGTTGGGGGAAGTCCAAGTGGGTTTAGAAGATCAGATCTGGTGTAGCAGAAACCCACATAAAAGAATCAGGTAATAGAAAACAGTAAATTGAAAATGTAAATACAAAATAGCATTATTATTTTTATAAACAGAAATCTTATAAACAGAAATCAAAATAGTGTGGTAATACTTTTGGATAATATTTATCATTATCTTCTCCCAATAGTAAAAATAACCAAAATTTTCCTGTATATGCAAACCATCAAGTGGTCTGCTTTCTATTTGATCAGTTCTTTACATAGTCAAAGTTAAAAATTATCATTAAGAGCAAGAATGAAAAGTAACTCACAACTCTGATTATTGCCTCTTGGCAAGACAGAGAAAAATATATTTCACTTCCTAATAATGTGAGATATATAAAACACAAGACATCTGTTAGACCTGATTTCTGAAGCTAAAATATAACCTTATCATTTCAAATAAGCAAATTTTAACATTTATATCTAAATATTACAAAAACTGAATGTTAAACATTAATTCTTAGAAAAGCATAAATAATAAACATTAACATGTAAGGTATACCAGCAGAAGAATGTACATCATCTTCCACCAAGTCAATTTCCATATTCATTAACTCTCCAGAAGGCGGAATCACAGTTAAATCCACACTTTTTCCTACACGTGCAGCATGAAGCTCTTCTACTATCTGCATCTAAATTGTAAAAGGCCCCAGTGAAATATTTCAGTTAATTACTTGGCAGAGTAGCAAGAGAAAAAAGCAACTGATTTCTTAATTAGGTCACTTGAGAGAGTTGGAGGGAATAAAAGCAAAATATGCAGGCAGCATGGTAAAAAGATTACAGACATAAAATATACACGTGGTTCTTATTACCTCTGTAACCTTAGGCAAGAAAACTTAACTTTAGGTCTCAGTGACTCATTTATAAAATAAGAATATTAGATATTTATATTTTGGATTTTTGTGAGGATTAAATAATATGTGAAGTTCCTTGCTTACAGCTGTATACACAGAAATCAAGTAAGTTTTGTTTTGTTGGTTTTTTTTTTTTTTGTACCAGGAATCAAAGTCAGGGCCAGGCAGGCACTATGCCACTGAGCTATATCCCCGGCCCCTCAAATAAATTAATTCTCATTACTTTCTCCTTCCATTCTCACTTCAAAGTACTTTAAGAAGTACTTTCCAATACAAATAAACCCATGTACTGATGTATTTTGATGTAAGTAAATGAAAATATAATGTAGCTTTACAGCAGAGGTGAGAAATCTATCAAGGGGTAGTGACCTACAAACAGAAAAATACAAGTGATTATCACAAATAAAAAGCTATTTTTTTAATTTAATTTATTGGTACATTCTAGGTAGACAGTACAGTTACATTCATTACTGGGATCTTGTACCTTTACATGCCAGGTCTTGGCTAATAAAAAGCTATTGATGGGCTGGAGATTTAGTTCAGTGGCACTGCACCTGCCTCAAAAGTGCAAGATCCTCAGTTTGATCCCCAGTACCGAAAAAAAAAAAAGCTACTAAGGTATGTTTTAAAAGAAAAATAAATGTTTCATGAATCTAACTTCAATTTAAGATGAAGGATCTAAAATTCTATCCAACAATTCTGTGGGGATCAATGAGGAGATTCTAACTGGGAAATGAAACAAGTGAAAAGATGAAACACTCATTTGGTCTCATTCCCACTGAATAAGAACATCATCATATTGGTGAGTAGAAAAGTGAAGCAAAACCATATTAATGTCATACTGCATTCTGGCATACATAGGCATACACATGCAAAAGCATAACATTAACTCAAAACTCAGATAATTTGTGGGCCATAAGCTCCACACTTTTTTAAAAAACAAATTAGCTTTTTATAAATATAGGAAAAAAAAAAGTACTTGGGTAAATATAAATACTTTTCCAAAAGTTTCTGAGGACTTCATAAAAACCCACATATTGATTTAATGGAGAATTACTGCTGTTTCCATATTATCGAGGTCTTCATATTCTATTTAAAAGGAAATATTTGAATTTCATTAAAAACATTCAGAGTAATAAGTGCATCAATAACCTCTTGATCAGTATCTTCAATATTTTCAGGTGACACTGAAGAACATGGTGCTTCAAAACCCTGAAATGAAAAGTAATTAAGAATGAAGTTATGAAAGTAGTTAAGAATGAAGAATATACCTAGAGTAGGGTTTTTAACACTGACACTATTAACACTTGGAGCCCAGTAATTCTTTGCTGTGGGGCCTGTCCTGTGTATAGTAGGATATTTATCAACATCCTTTGGCTCTACCTACCAGATGTCAGTAGCACTGCCCTCCCACTCACAATCTTGACAATCAAAAATGACCACAGAGAGGAGGGAAATATGAGAAGGTAACTGGAGGATTGATCTGATCAAAGTATGTTATATGTATGTATGAAAATAACACATTGAAATCCAATTATTTTGTGAAGGTGATAGGTACTAATAAAAATACATTTAAAAAATATCTCGACAGGGCTGGGGATTTAGATCAGTGGCACCACACCTGCCTCGCAAGCGCAAGGTTCTGAGTTCAATCCCCAGTTAGGGGAAGATCCTCAACCTTGTCAAATGTTCCTAAGGAGTGAAACTGTCCCAATACAAGAAACCACCCCTACAAAAGTTCCTTTGTATCAAGTCAGAAATATGGGAGAAATTCTTGAGTTGGGTAAAGGGAAGTGGGGGGAAAGGAAGGAGGGGGGAGGGAAAGAGGAGGGGGGAGAGAGAATATATTTTCCTAAAAGTACTCATTTTCTACTAATAAAAGTATGCACCACTATAAAAATAAAAAGACCCTTGGTAAAGCTAAATAAGCTGGCTTTCAGTGATAGAAAATTTTGATCCAGAAATCACTGAGTCATTTCTAAAAGTGAAAAGACAAAACAAAGGGAAGTTGAGGACTGTAAGGAGATAGGGCTGAAAAATACAGAATTGTATTATGTGTGGTTAGAACACCAAAGTTTATTTTAATTTTTTGTGTTAAATAGATTAAAATCTTTTTATAAATTCCAACTTTGCACTGGAACTTTTGCTAGTGGATGAATCCTACCTGACCCTATATACAGATAGCAGGAAGCTCAGCAAAAGCACTACTGAACCAAATCATCTAATTCCCCAAGATAATCCCAAACTCAAATATATTTTACATGAAACTGTATATGACCTCTTAAAACAAGTATACTGTTGTAGAAATATTTTACTGAAAAGTCAGCCTCCACTCTTAACTTTCCAATATCAAACTTCATGCGATATAACACACATCACACACATAGGCCAATTACAGCTGTACTATTCCATGACCATGAGATTTAGAAGCCCTCCTCCATTTGATTGTAAATCTTACTAAATATTTTGTAAGGTTTTCCTAAATTAAGAAATGTGACCCACTAGAAGTGGCACATGTCTGTAATTCCAGCACTCAGGAGGGTGGCAAGTTCAAGTCTAGCCTAGGCTACATTTTATGTTCAAGACAACACCTTTTCAGAAAGAGAAAGAGAAAAGAACAAATGTCAAGCAAGCTAGAAATTATGAAAACCTCCTGCAACTCCTCATAGTCTGTCTTCAAGTCACTACTAACTTTTGTTGTTTTTTACCACAGGCCTCTTACAGTGATTTCAATGAATTTTCTATCCCCTAAAAAATCCAAAAAAGTTCATATCAATGTGTCTGAAAACTTTTTCCTATATAAATGAAAGTCTAAGAATTTAATTATTTGCACTCCACTAAAATGATTAAATACAAAGATTGAAATAAGGCTTCTCTGAAGATGACAAAAGGGAATACCAATAATGAGAATAACAATTTTGTCTACTAAAGTGATCCTAAATGAAAAATGTGATTATCTTTCTTCTCTACTTCCAGTGGCTCTCTTCCATCTATACGATACAAATTAAAATACCAGTCCTTCCCATGAGACACAAAATCAACCACTGTCTGGACTCTGGCTTTCCACCCACCCAACTTCTTCTCCCATAGATTCACTATACATTTGGACTCTAGTTATACTGAACAGCCTAAGCACCCATATGCTTTCTTACCACACCGGCCCCGTCTGGAAAGCACTTCTCTTTCTCACTCTACATGTTCTTCAAGGCTGAGCTTAAGAATCTCTAGTAAGCCCTTCCTTAACTCAACCAGATATGTATACTAACATTACATCTAATTATTAGAGTTCTGATATTTTCTTCACTGTAATACAAATATGTACATTTACTGATCTACATCCTTCAAAATTTGAGGGTCACAATTCTCTTATCTTGAAGTCACTACTACCTAGAAATGTGCCTTATATAAAGTAGGTCTTTAAATTAATATTTGATAAACTAATGAATTTCTACCTTTAAGATTTATAAGGATTAAATGGGAAGCTGTCTTTAAAAGTAGCCTATAGGTGGTAGAACACTTGCAGATTAGATATACAGACACAGACAGAGTAGCTGATAAATTTTAAATCTCTAGAACACTAATTTGGATTAGGGGTGAGGGGCTTGCCTCTGAGAGGGGTCTGTATCAAAGGACTACAAAGCCTAAGAAACAAGTTATTTTCTCTTTAAGAAAGCATTAATAAGATTATGTAACAGGATTATTAAATCCAAGAAAAATACAATTGGTTCCCGGTAAGCACACTTATTTTAGAAATATAATTAGCTACCAAGGAATTAGTGAGTAAAACAAAATAAATATGGTATTAAGATAATTAAGATAATTATCTCCTGTCAACAGTATCTGAATATACTCAATATAAGGACAATATTTGTCTGTTGCACTAGTGTCTAGGCAAGCACTGTTTTTTGTTTCTTTGATCTTTGTCTGTAGTATTGGGGATTGAGCCTAGGGCTTCACATTTGCTAGGCAAATTTTAAATTTTGAAACAGGGTCTTGCTATGTAGCCCAGGCTGCCCTCAAACTCAAATTCTTCTGGCCTCCAACTCTAGGGTAAAGGCATGAACCACCACACCCCACTGATCCAGAGTCTAATGATTTGAAGTCAGATAATGCTATTATTAAAAGCAACAGTTTAGGGGCCAGGGATTTAGCTCAATGGTTCTGCTGCTCCCTTGCAAGTGCAAGGTCCCAAGTTCCATTGCTGGTACCAAAATAAATAAATAAATAAAAATAAAAACAGAGTTTAAGTTTCAATTCTCCTAACTAGAAATTAATCATGAAAAAATTGTTTCTCCAATCACTTAATATTCATACTATGTACCTCTTTTGGTTTGTATAATGATTGTATATAGAATTCAAAAACACAGCAAAGCTAGGCATGGTGGTTCACACCTTTAATCTCAGTGACTTGAGAAGCTGAGGCAAGAGGATCACAAGTCTGAGGCCAGCACAAGCAAAATCCTATCTCAAAAAGGACTGGAGGGGAAGGCTGAACTAGAGATGCTGCTCAGGCATGGGGGTGGGAGCTAGGGGAAAGTTCTGGAAGGGATAAGAGAAGATGAAAAACTAAAGGTGGTATAAAGGTTTTTCATACTACTCCTTAAATGCATAATACATTGGTGTCAGGAAACAATGCTACAATAATGACAAATGAACATACTAATGATTTCAAGGTCCTTTCACTCCACTTTAGAGAACTAATTATAATACACAAACTGGAGATGCTTTCCCTTTAAGGAACCAGCAAAAAGAACAAAATTCCCGCTGTGGGCCTCAAATTCATTTGAACTAAAAATACATCTCAAATTCTTCTTCCTCTTCAGTTATAATCCCACCATTTTACATAAGAATCATCTCACTATTGCCATCTATGGTCTTAAACACAGGCAGGCTTACCATCCCTGTTTCTAAGCAGCCTCTAAATTTTAGAATTTCTGATGTTCTAAAGTACTGAAAAGTTCTAAAGTACGTTTCAACAAAGTAATTTTATCACAGAAGCAAAGTTGTGAAGTTCTCAGCAGTCCATAAATGCTTTACATTTAATAATGTATTACACCATCTAGAAGCAAAACAGATGTGCCAAGTTTTCCAGCCTGGATTTCTGTTCACTTAGTCCCTCAGCCTAGAATATCCCTGCCTGCCTCATTCCATTCAACTTTGTGTTTATCTGAATAACTCCTACTCATTTCTTGTTTCTCAGTTTAAATGTGACCCCTCCAGTAAACCTTTTCTAACTAATCCAGTGTACCAAGGATATGTTAGTCCCAAGGGCAGGGGATTTAGCTCAGTGGTGCTGCACCTGCCTCACAAGCACAAGGTCCTGAGTTTGATCCCCGGTACTGGGAAAAAAAAGACTGGCCAAATCTCATGGCTTTCTACTCTATTATTAACTAATAAGTACTTTACTTATCATATTTAAGGAAATTTTCTCTGCTTCTCCTTACATAAATAAGTCTCTGAAAACAAAGACTGTCTTATTTATTTTTGTGATACTGGGGATTAAACCCAGAGCCTTTAATACATCCCAATCTTTTTATTATTTTTAAAATTTGAGACGGGATCTTGTTAAGTCGCTAAATTACCCAGATTGGAGTCAAACTTGTAATAGTACTTCCTCAGCCTCCCACAGTGCTGGACTACAGTCATACATCACTATGCCTAGCTGAGATTTTATCTTTTACTTGCAGTGCCTGACACATAGGAGCATGGAAAAAAAATGTTGAAGAATTGAACTACTCAGATTATTAACCCCTGAGGGTTCTCTAGTATGTGGGGTTAGAAAAGAGCCTAAGCGACTGTTATAGTGCTTTCTTTCCAGAGTATTATCTGTATCTGCTTCTTTGCACACAATCATACATTCCCTGCTATAACGGAACCTTGATACCTGCTATTTCTTCCTAAAAAAGGTGGAATTAAAGAAAACAAAATAGGGCCAGAGATTTAGCTCAGTGGCACCACACCTGCCTCACAAGCACAAGGTACTGAGCTCAATCCTTGGTACAGACAGACAGAAAGAAGGAAGGGAGGGAGGGAGGAAGGGAAAGAAATAATAATAGGAAAATAATAAAGAAAATAAGAAACCAAGACATATCTTCATAACTAAACTTGAAACAGTACTTCATCATTATCGTCAGTAACAGAAATAACTAAAACCTGACAATATTAAATTTTTTTTGCTAAAACAAAATTCCTCAGTTTGTATTACCTTACCTGGGTAAGGTTTTCCTTAGAACTTGAATCATTACTTTCTTGATGCTCATGATAATTTCTTCTTTTATGATCACGAACAGTCTGCTTATATGTGGAATCTAAAAGTAAATTTTCAGCTTTATGCCTGGTCAAATTTAATGAAACCTGGGATCCTTCTGGGAATTCTCTTGCTTCCTGCTTAGTCTTTACCTTATCAGAAACTAAATTGAAGACATTTTCTTCTACAAGCTTCTGGAGGGTATTACAGGATTTTACTGGGATTTTGAAGCTGATCTTTTTTCTAGAGTCAAAGGGTTCATGAATAATTTTATTGGAATTATAATCTTGAGAAAATTGATTTTTCTTACATTTACATTTTTCAGAATTGTCTCTAAATTTGTTTCTTTCTCTCTTGAGTTCTTTCATCATCTCTGTCTGAACAAGCCGATGAGGCCATTTCTTTTCCCTTGTTTGGCCTTCTACTTTAGGTTTCATATCTTTGGTAATTTTAGGATTGTTAAGGTATTTAATTCCATGGCTAAGCTTATGTGTAACATTTATCAATTTAATTTCTTTACATTTTCTATAATTTCTAGTTCCATCTGAAGTACTCTGTGAAATAAATTGATTATTATTTAAAGATGATGCTTCCTGTAGTTTAATAGGTCCTTGGGATGAAGAACTGAGTTCTGGTCTCTTTCTGGATACGTCAGTTTCTAAATTCAATCTGTAAAGCAGCACAGAAATTTAGGTTATGTTACAATTATGTAGGTTGTTTCACTGTATAATTTTTGTTAGGAATGACAGAGTGTGCTAACTCTAACATAAACAGAAATGACTTACTTTAAGAATGAAATGGAATTACTAAACCAATGATATTAGAATCACTGGTTTGCTATTTGGAAAAAAGTTCTGGCTTTATATTATACAATGTAAATTCCAAGTATACTAAATATTTAAGGATAAAATTATCATAATTGCTATACTTCTCATTAAACCTTTAATAACTGGAGGATAAAGGAATGTTTATTTGCTTAATAGAAAATTTCCTAAACTTAACAATGAGAGAATATGACTAAAGCTTTAGCATATCAAAAATGGTAAAAATTAAAACAGGTGGAAAATGATATTCACTATATATATGATTATTATATTATATATATGATATTATTCGTCTGAGAAGATAAAAAACTTGTTGAAAAATATTGAGATTCTAGGATAGGTCTTAAAATGAAAGAAAGAAAACACGAATAGTTAACTATTTGAAAAAAGAATGTGATTTTTCTAGTAATCATAGGCATGGTAATTATAACAATAATATACCTAGCAGATTATATCCCACCAATAATATACCTACCAATAATATCCTACCAAATTAGCAAAGATTGTAAAGTATCATTAAAAATTGGTAAGGAATAGGACCCTCATATGTTGCTATAGAAATGCAAAATGATAGAGGTACAAGATCCCAACAATGAATGTAACTGTACTGTATCCCTAAAATGTACCAATAAACTCAATTAAAGCTGAAAAAAAAAAAAAAAGAAATGCAAAATGATGGTACAAGTTTGTAATTTCAGTTACTTGGGAGGCTGAAGGAGGACTGGCTCAAAAAACAACAAAAAAAAATTATAAGAGAAATACAGTGATACAAGCCAGGAGTGGTGGTGCACACCTGTAATCCCAACACACAGGAGGGTAAGGCAGGAGGATCACTGTGAGTTTGAGACCAGTCTGGGCTGCATAGTGAGTTCCAGGTCAGTCTCAACTGCATAGTGAGTCCCTGTCTCAAAAAAAACAAAAACAAATACAGTGATACAGGACTTGTCTAGCACATGCAAGGTCCTGGGTTCAAAACATAGCAGAGGGTGAAAAACTGTATGACATTTCTACAAAGGAATATGAAATACAAACTGAGATCTCTTTATTTTTTTATTCATCAGTAATCCCCATTTTAGAAATCTATATCAAGGGCCAGGGATTTAGTTCAGTAGTTCCACCGCCTACCTTGCAAGCACAAGGACCTGAGTTCAATCCCCAGAACCAAAAAAAAAAGAAATCCATATCAAGGTGAAACAATCAGAGATGAGCTAAAAAATTTTAAGAGATAACTCATTTCAGGATTATTTAAATAGCACAAAAGTCAGGTGGAAAGCAACTGCTAAAATTTTGCAAATTATTTTTTAAAAGTCATAGTCATAAGAAGGAACATTATGGTCATTTCATACGATAATATAAATTAGACTAGTGAAAAGACTAAGAAATGTGTTAAAATATTATAAGCAGCCATACCTAGACGTGATAATACTATCCTGCTTATAAAAGTAGAAGCTACTTCATAGTCAGAAAGAAAGTGGAAAATTTCAATCAAATACAATCCATTAATTTATATCAATAAATCCTTCAATGCCTTCTAAGTGTCAGTCACTCTGCTAAGCACTAGAAAGGCAGTGGAGAACATATAAGAGTCCTTTGCCACTATTTAGTTTCCACCCAAGAGGGGAGAATGAAATAATAAATAAATGACTTCTCAAATAATTATATGAGAGCAAACTATAACATCTCATAGTTTTTATAGAGGCTTTACCTAAGTCTATACCTGGTCTTATTTTCTCTGATATCACTTCGTACAAAAAGACTGCCTATCATTTATCTGTTAATAAGTAACAACAGGGGCCGGGGATTTAGCTCAGCGGTTCAGTGGCCTGCCTTGCAAGAGCAAGGACCCAAGTTCAATCCCGGTACCAAAAAAAAAAAACAAAAACAAAAACAATAAGTAACAACAAAACAAAAACTTTACATTTTAACAATTCTCTGTGTATTTTCATAGTCCCAGTTTATTTCATCTTCACAATATTTTATAGTAATCTAGGTGCCAAAATCTTTGGTCATAATGAAAACTCAAAACAGTAATACAATAAAATTAAATCTTAAAACTATTCTTTTACAACTAGTTATGCTAATTGCTATATTGAGTTAACACATTCTATATTTGCACTCAAAATAGTAAAGTGCTAACATCTTGTTAGATAAAAGATATGTAGCAAATAACTTATTTTTTAATGAATGACGTGCTGTCAAACATTCACCTGAAGCTCAGTATCAATGATCTACATTGAACTCCTGGGATACACAAATAAATGTGAAATTTTGTCAACATTTAAATTATTCCCATTAAGTTATTTAAAAATTTAATAACTAACACTTTAGAATACACTGCAGGAACAGTAATTTATTAATATTACCAATTGCTCTATTGCTACTTCGGTCATCAAAATGCTAAATAATACACTCACTTTCAACTTAGGTCAACTGAAAAAGTACTATTTTGGCTAATTTTACCAATAATGGGTACTGTTGATGGCAACATTGTCATATCTCTTAAGAGTAAAAGAAGTAAAAACTTATCTCCTCTTTAACTTGTGAACTTAGCTTTGGTTAATGGCAATAAAGTAATCTTATTGAAGAAATCCTACAAACTCAAACTGCATTACTGATTTAAAAAAATGCTTTCTGAATATTGAAAACATTTGAGCACTGAAAGTTTTCTAAATACTGAAAGCAGACATAACTGTATTGTTGCCCTTGCTTGTTATTTTTTTTTAAGATTTTTTTTTTTTTTTGGTACTGGGGATTGAACTCTGGTCCTTGTGCTTGCAAGGCAGGCCACTGAACTGCTAAACTAAATCCCTGGCCCCCTTGCTTGTTATTTTTATCATCGATACATTTGTATGTATTTAAACCACAGGACTGGAATTATGGTAATAGTGTGATGTGACTAGCTTTCCAGAAGAAAAACCTAATTTTTCTATCTGTATCTCAGCTTTCAATGTCTGTAAACTAATCTCAAGACCTGTAGAGCTAAACAAAGTAGGGGAATTCTTATAGAATATGTTATATACCACATAAAAATATTTATAACCTTAAGAAGTTCACTTCTCCAAGAAGTGAATGACAGCAATAAATGAACTACTTTCTCTGTAAGTGTAGAAATACACTGTCAATATCAATGTCTACAGAGCATAGTAGCAGAGTGTTCTTCTGTGAAAGTAACTGTAAATATATAATAGTTTCTATATATACTGCTTGAGTCTTATATAGCTATAAGGTAGATCTAAAATACCTAGAGTATGCCATACTGTTTGGCTAAAGAAACATCACTAAAAGTTACATCTAGAGTGCTTGTCAGTATTGGAAAGTGAATAATCAAATATTAATAACTCTAATGACATGGCTTATTCATGTTACTGATACTGACATCCTGATGAGATATGATGGTAACTCACACAATGGGATGGTCATTAATCACACATAGGTTTCAAACATACCAAAATGTTACTAAATTAAGTGTTCAATTTTTTATCACTCCAATGGCTGAAGTCAAACAACAAATTTTGAATAAATACTTAAGACCAAGCTAATTTTTTCAGTACCAGGGATTTAACTCAGGTCCTTGGCACTTGTGAGGCAGGCACAACACCACTAAGCTAAATCCCTGGCCCTAAATTTCAATGTAACCCTAGAATAATTTGAAATCTTGGTGTCCAAAGAATTCAATAACATTACTTCACCTTCCTTGCAAACACTATTCAGACAAGTCAAGGTTGGGGTCAGTGGGCAATCTTTCAAACAGAAATCTATTTACATACACTTTATCCTTTTACATGGATGTAAGATATAGGGATTAAAAAAAAGTGCCCTTAAGCAAAAGATAACTAGTGAAAAGTTGTGCTTTGGAGAATTTATAAGTTTTTAAAAGGTAATAAAAAAGGCAATATAAATCTAGTTTTAAAAAATTTAACAAAAGCTGGGCATGGTGGCACAACCTGTAATCCCAGCACTCAGGATTGATGGATAAGGCACAAGAATTACTGTGAGTTCGAGACCAGCCTGGCTTGCATAGTGAGTTCAAGGCCAGCCTGCACTATAAACTGAGACCCTATCTCAAAAAAAATTTTTTTAGTGGGCAACAGTCAAGCATAATATGAATCTTGGGATAAGACAAACTTTCAACAAATAATAATATAGATATGAAGTACTACACACACAAAAAAAAATGATTTGAAAGAAAACAGTGGGCCAGGGATTTAGCTCGGTGGCACTGCATCTGCCTTGCAAGTTCAAGGTCCTGAGTTCTATCCCCAGTACTAGAAAAAAACGAAAAACATCCTTTGGCCAAGGATTTAGCTCAGTGGTGCCACCACTTCCCTTGCAAGCACAAGATTCTGAGTTTGATCCCTGGTACCAAAAAGAGAAAACAGAAAAGTTGACTAAAGGTGGATTTGTTTGAATTAGCCTTGGCTTTACCAGACACTAATTGAGATTAGGAAGAATAATTTATATTTATATATTTAATTCCATTTAAATTGTTTTCCAAGGCCAGGAATTTAGCTCAGTGGTGTCACACGTGCCTTGAAAGCCCAAGGTCCTGAGTTAAACACAGCACTGAAAATATAGACAAATAGATAGATAGATAGTTTTCCAGTTACTTCCTATCTTCAGAGAAGACAGGACCTTACCAATTTTTGCCACACATTATATTTTTTATACTTATTAACTCCAATTAATGGCAAGAAATATCTTTATCACCAAATTCTCTGAAACTTTTATCCAAAGAAGAAATTGGGGGGGTAGGAGACGTAAAAAGAATTAACATGTGTTATGTACATGTACCGACTCCCCATGATGAATGTAACCATTATGTACTGCAAATATGTACAAATAAAAATAATTTCCATTATCCATATGATCATCCCTCAACTTCTCTAGTTATAATCAATTCTGGTTAAATTTTTAGCCTTACTGATTCAGTATAGTTCATATTCTCTGTATATATAAAAATAATTCATCAATTTTTGTTTGTTTTTTGAGATAGGATCTTATTTTGTAGCACAAGTTGGCCTTCAACTCACTATGGAGCCCAGGCTGGCATTGAACTAGCATTGATTCTCCTGCCTCTGCTTCCCAAATACTGGAATTATAGGCATGCACTACCATGACTGGCTGTTTATCCATAATTTTTAAACTACCTTTATAAACTCCCTATTAGTACCGTATATGTAACAAAGCTATGTATCTCATAAACATGTGCCCAAAACAAATCACTTCAGATTAAAATCTACATTATATTTTAGAAACATTTCCACAATGGTTTTGGTAGACTTTATTGTTTCACTCAAATTTTTTGTAAATGTATAGTAAAAAGAAAGTTTGGTACTCATAATGTGATATAAAAACAGTAATAATCAAAGTAAATAAAAGATTTTCTAAATCTGATTACATAATTCTCAGCCAAAAAAGTAAAGATACCAAGAAAAAGGAGGAATTTACCTTTTCAGTTGTCTTCTTTTTGTATTTGAGTACTGAATGTCTATATGATCTGATTTCTGAAATTAAAAAAAATCTATTATTTAGAAAATATAAATTGTGCTAGTACTGCAGTTACAGTACAAGAAGACTGAGCAGAAATGTTTTTCTAACAGCTATGTTAGTAAATAGGCTGATAACTTAATTTTCCCAATCCTCTTGAAGGATAAGATATTATTATCATCTTTCTTTACAAAAAATGGTCAAAACTTAAACAGAGTTAGGTATCTTTCTCATCATTACAGAACACATAAGAAGCAATCATGACTTAAAACCAGATCTGTCTCATTCTCTTCACTCTACAATTCTTTGTACTCTGGGGATACAGAGCTAGGCACAAGAAAAATAAAGAAAAAAGGATTTTTACAAATAACCTAATGTAAGGAGTGGCAAGCAGAAAAATATGTAGTCAGGAGGTGCTAAAAGAGTTTCAAACATCATCTACCAAAAGATGGAAGGTACCTAAGAAGGTGGACAAAATATATGCTGAAGATTGAAAAATAATGAATAATACAAATTCAGCAGAGAGAAAATAAAGCAGCCTAGCCAGAGGTAGAGGAACTCTTTCAAGGAAGAAGGAAAAAAAAAAAGATAACTGATGGTTAAGGTGGGACTAAATTTAAGAACGCTCAAATAACTATAGTGAGTGAAAAATCTTTCAGGGAACAAATATGATTAAAGTAATATTTTAAGTCAGGCCCTTTGGCACAACTATAATTCCAGCTACTCAGAAGAGTAAGACAGAAGGACTGCCAAGCCTGAGCCCAGCGTGTGCACCTTAGCAACTTAACCAGACCATCCTTAAAATTTGAAAAAGGGCTAGGAATGCAGCTTAATGAGAAGGTTCTAGGTTCAATCCCAGTACCAAAAAAAAAAAAAAAAAAAAAAAAAAAAAAAAAAAGGAAGGGAAAGGGAAAGAGGATGGGGAAGGGGACAGGGAAAGAGGAAAAGGAAAAGGAAAAGACGACGACAAAGACAGGAAGGAAGGCAGGAGAAAATCCTTTAAGTATGGGCCAGGAGCATAGCTCAGCGGCAGAGCATATGCTCAGCATGCACAAGGCCTTGGTTTCAATCTGCCAGCATCAGAAAAAGAAAAGATCGATATAAAAATAATAAACTGCAGAAACAATTATAGTCATGTCATACAATTTCAATGAGAGTGCATATATGATGTGATCCCATAAGATTATAATCAAAATGGAATAACGTATAGTTGAGAAAAGACTAACAGAAAAGGAAACTGCAGAACAAAACAAATTCCCAAGTAAATATTTACTGAAGGATTTAGCAGAGGCTTTTGCAGATTTCAACAAGCTCCTCAAAATGTCCAACAACAAAAAGTTTCCTTTAATAGAGAAGGGTGTTCAAGGTACCTTACCTGCTTACAAGCAAATCTATAAAGAAGAAATGAACCAACCAAATGACCATGAATATATTTCTGAAAAGACTGACATTCTTCAAAAAAAAGAATCAGGGCTGGGGATTTAGCGCAGTGGTTCTACCACCTGCCTTGAAAGCACAAAGCCCCGAGTTCAATCCCTGGTACCAAAAAAAGCATCAGAAGCTGGAGATATAGCTCAGTGATACTGTGCATGGACCCAGAAACTCTCGCCAAAAAGCCTCAGGCAGGGATCCCATAAGACAGTGTCATCATAGATGACAGATGCATATTATTGCCCCTGAAGACATTCCAGCGGGACAAGATGTGGAGGACAGTGATACTGATGATCCTGGCCCTGTGTAAGATTAGGCCTGTGTGTATGTTTGTATGTTTGTGTGTGTGTGTGTGTGTGTGTGTGTGTGTGTATGTCTGCTTTTTTAACAAAAGTAAAAAAGTAAATAATTTTAAAATAAAAAGTTATAGAATAAGGACAAAAAATTATTTTGTACTATGTGTTTCCATTTTAGAGTTAAAATGTTTTTAAAAGTTAAGTCTGTAAAGTAAAAAAGCTATCATTACCTAAAGTTGATTTAGTGTTAAAGAAAAAATATTTAATAATTTAGTGAAGCCTAAGTGTATCATGGTTATAATATCTACAATAGTGTTCAGTAATGTCCTAGGTCTCTGCATTCCCTCACAACTTACTTGATGACTCACCTAGAGCAACTTTCAGTTCTACAAGTGTGCCACTTTTATCTTTTATATCACATTTTTATTATACCTGTTCTATATTTTAATAATTTAGATAAATAGCTGAACCAAATATTATAACTGCCTAGAGCATTTATATTTATATTTGTAAACAACCTAAAGCATGTATGCTACAGCAGTCTATTTATTATCATTGAAAGCTCTAAAAGGTTTACCACAACTGGCCTAGAGTATTCAGTATAGTAACATGCCCTGGTCTTAAGCAATAGGCAATACTACACGGCCTAAGTGTATAGTAGGCTGTGCTATCCAGGTTTGTGTAAGTACACTGTACTGTTCACAAAACAAAATCACCTAAGAATGCATTTCTCAGAATGTATCCCCATCGCTAAGCAATGCATCACTGTATATGAAAACAAATAAATTCTTTAAAAACACAATTTTATATCCCTGTAACTTTTACTACTTTCCTTTTTACCCATTACATAGGTATTCTGGATATACCCTTAACCACATCATTAATATGTTTAAGTACCTTACCAATCACCCAGAGACCACCTTAATATGTTTAATGTCCTGTCACTGTTTTTGTTGTTGTTGTTGTTGTTGTTGTTTTAGTACCGGGTATTGAACTCAGGATCTTGTGCTTGAAAGGCAGATGGCAGCACCACTGAGCTAAATCCTTGGCCCCTTGTCATTGTTTTTAATTATTAGTGCTTTGAGTAAAAAGAACTCTCTTTAATTAGCTTGGTTGATGTATACAATTTTACAACCTTGGGCAAATCATTTGACCTTCTGGATCTCACCTTCACGTTCTGAATGTGAACATGAAAACAATGTATATGCCTTTGCCACCTCAAAAAGAAATGGTAAAGACAAATACAACCATATATGTGAGAAGGCTGAAAAACTAAATTTATATCCATGTTGTTCTAATCCCCTGAAAAACAGTAAATTTATATCCATGTTGTTCTAATTCCACGTGGTAGGGTCTAATAAGAAATAAAGAATCAAATACACACTTTCTGGTGAGAAGGAAGAATAAAACAAACTTTTTTTATTGGCTATCAAAAGTAAACGATAAAAAAATGAAAAAGTCATGAAGGAAATTTTATATTATATATCTTCTGACTCAGGAAGCTGAGGCAGGAGGATTGCTTAAGCCAGAGTCTGAGGCTATTTTGGCCAACATAGCAAGAACATAGCTCTTAAAATAATAATAACAACAACAACATCAATGCAAATAATTTTTAGTTTTAATATCTAAGCACTCACCAATTTTCTCTTCTCTGATGAATCTGATTTTATAGAGTAGGCAGAGATAGCAGAATCTGATAAGGTTGTTTTCTCATTCTTGTCCTAAGAATGCCATGTGGGGTAAAAAAGGATAATAAAAGCACAAAAAAAAAGCAAAGTATGATAGAGGATTATTTCATCATTATAAACTGACATTCCCCAGTCAATCACGGGCTCCAGAGGAGAACAACATTTTACAATACATAAATTTGATAAGAAAAACAAAGAGTCAAGTAGAAGGAAGACTTAGATATTAAAAAAAAAGTCCTGGGTGCTCATAAACTAGAAATGAAATAGGAGACCAGTTGACAGGATTTAATGGAGTAAGTGTGTTGTAAGGTAGCACTACCATGGCGGGATTCAGTCTTCTACAAAGCAAAACCACGTATCTTGCAATTTTTCATTGGATCCTGAATCCAACAGACCAAAGACAAACTTGCTTGGAGCACTTACCTTATTATACTGAAGACATACTAGACAGTAAGAAGAGGTTAATTTAAAAGAAAACAATAAAAGTCTCTAAATCCACCTAGGTAAAAGTCTAGTGCAGGATTTTTACAAGTAAACAAACAATATAACTTGTATGTCAGGTGTGGCTACAGAATAAAATAAAACAGAGAAAAGGGACAGGAAGGGCTAAGAACTGAAAGTAATTTTTTTTTTTTTTTTTTTTTTTGATACAGGGTCTCACTATGTAGCTCAGACTGCCCTGGAACTCATTATGTAGCCCAGGCTAGTCTCGAACTTACAGAAATCCTCCTGCCTCAGCCTCCCAAGTGCTGGGATTACAGGCATGCCCAGCTAAATTTGCAATTTTTAAACAGGGCAGAGAAACTTTATAAAAAAGTTTTCAATTCAAAAGAAACACTAGCAAGGGTAAAGCCCTAGAAGCAGGGATGTACCTTTCTGGTTACACCACAATAATAAGCCATGGGACAGAAGACCAAAGAGAAAAGTGATAGCAGCTGACATGGGAAGAATATGTTGAACTTGTGAGCCCAGAAAAGACATTAGTTATTGCTCTGGATGACATGGAAAAACCACTAACACACACTGAGGAAAGTGACAAGATTTTAATAGGATCACAATGCTGCTGCGTTAAGATTAAGACCATGAGGAAGAAAAAGCAGAGACAGGGAGATCAATTTAGATATCACTGGAAGGAAAATAAACTGAAAAGTCTGAATTTATTATAAAGAAAAAGGTAATCTGAAGAACACCCTAAGCAAGCTGCAAATTTACAAACTAGTTTTTCATATTAAAAGTCTGAGTCTGCCTATTAGCCCACAATGGTTTGCCTGAAATAGGTGTGTGGGAACAACTCTCCATGCTACTGGTGACACTGGAGGATTACAGAGAAAGAAACGTGGTAGGCAAATCTCCATTACCATTACCCCCATCCATCCCCACAGCATTGGCCATTCTGCTTAATAAGAGTACAATTTTAGCTAACATTGGAGAAATTAAAAAGGGAGAAAAGGGCTGGGAATTTAGGCAGTTCCGCTGCCTGCCTCTCAAGTGCAAGGACCAAGTTCAAGGACCCAAGTTTGATCCCCAGTACCAAAAAAAAAAAAAAAAAAAAAAAAAAAAAAAGAAAAAGAAAAGAAAAGGGAGAAAATATGAAATATAGTCTAAGAGTTATTATGAATGGGAGGATTTGGGGAACTTACAATACTTAGGAAAATTACTTTTGTTTAAATTACTATTTTCTGTGGAAATAAAGTCTAAAATGCATAATAAATATTAGAAAATGGGAGGAAAATGTTCAGATGGGAAGGCAACAAGGGAGGAAGGAGGGAGGAAGGAAGAAAGGAAGGAAGGGACAAGAAAATAATGAAAATAGGAAAAACAAACAAAGCTTTTGCACATAGGGAAGAGAGGAAGCTTGGGGAAAATGGGAAAAAAGGCAAGATGTATCATGCAGAGGTGCAAAATCTGAGTGTTATCATTATGTATGCCTAACATATACCAATAAATGTTTTGCTATAAAAAATAAATTACTACTTTCTAAGCTTTAATTCTTAAACTATTTAATGGGGATTAACAATATCTCATAGACTTGTGAGAAAAAATAATATAAGTATAGTAAGAAAAAAGGATGGAAAGAGCAAATGACTTGAGTCAGGCAGGTAGAACAAACTTTTCATATTTCATTGTAAAAGTGAGGTGCAATTTTTTCATTACACAGAATTGTAAAAAAAAAAAGGTTAGTAAATCAAAATTCTTACTTTGTCATAGATGGATAAGATGGTACCATTTCTCTGAGACCTTTCTTCTTTTCCACAAGATTCTTTGTTGGACATCTTGAAAAGCTAAAATAAACATTAAAAATACAAAATATATACTAGAAATTATTATTCTTTCAGGTACATAAAGGTTTATAAAGGGCCAGGGATTTAGCTCAGCGGCACTGCACTTGCCTCACAAACACAAGGTCCTGAGTTCAAACATGGTACCGAAAAAAATAAAATAAAATAAAGGTATATAAAGACTGGAGTTTTACAAAATGATTTCCATTTTCTAGCCATTCTCAATATAAGATTCTCTTGTACCACTTTTCTTCCCTTATACTCTCTTTTAAAAGGATCTGTTCTTCTCCCTCAGCTTTATCAACTCTTCAAGAATTAGTCCCAAAACTTTATCTTGAGCCCTGACTTCTCTCTTAAGCATTAGGTCATCTTTTTTTTTTTTTTTCCTGCTTGCAGGACTGCTATATTTTACCCCATCTACACCTCAAAACCAATTAATCATAAATTTTCATTTTTTTCTCAGTACACTTTCTGTGAGACTTCAGGCAAACTGTGTACATTTTTTGAGCCCTAGTTTCATTATTAGTAAAGTAGAGACAGCTCATTCTAGAGGGTTTGTGAAGGAGTCAAATGAAACAATGGATGTTAAAAAAGTACTTTCTACAAGGTGGTACACCTAGAAGGGTCTAAATACTTATGTGAGTTTTCCTACTAGACCCGGAGCTTCTCTAAAAGTATGCTGTATTAAAAGCTTGATGTTCATCTGCCAAATGAGTGAATTCTTCTTCATAATATGCACTCTTTCATTCTTAGCTACTACAGTTTCTCCACTTCTCATCCAATTTTCACCTTTCCAGCTCTCCTATAAACCAAATTAGTACAATTAACTGATGACCCCTCCTCACAAAATATTAAGTATATATGTGTGTATGTATGTATGTACGTATAAGACAAGCAGAGTCACACTGTATGGTCAGAAACAGTCTCAAATTAGTGTGCACCCACAGCACAGACCAGCATCATGGGCTGGAACAGAGTGGCTAGAAACTGGGAATAATACCAGGTTGGGTTGGGATGAAATAAAAGGGATAAGAAATAGAGCCCAAAGAAGAGAAAACAGCTAGGAGTGACACCGACTAAAAATATAACCATAATAAAGGATGTGGTTTTTCTATAAAATGGAGTACTACTCAGCCATAAAGAATGAGAAGCTAGAGACATTTGCAGGCTAAACCAACCCCAACGCAAGGGACGCTTGTATCGCTGTCCTAATATTGTTAATACGAAGGCTAAAGCAAAAATAAAAACAAAGGAAATGAGAGGGCGCGCAACGAGGAGCGGACGGCAACTCCCAGTCAGCCTGACAAGCAATCTGGTCCAGCGCAAACAACCTTCAGAACACCCCGACCTCCACAGCGCCAGGCCAGTACCACACCTCCACTCAGCGGCCCGACCCCAACTCCGCTCACAGAGTCGCCCCGCCCAGGCTCGAGTGACTCTTGAGTCCCCCTCGTGCGGCCCGGCACCTGCAACGGTGCTTGGGAGCGGAACGAGGATGTCCCTATCCTGAGAAAAGTCGACAGGGCCTCCCGTTTCTTACCTTAGCAGAGACCGCTGCGGCGTTACTTGCGGCGTTGCTTACACCGTTCCAACTCTCAGGAAAGACCCCTCCGCACGCGATGCCCGCTGGGAAACGTAGTTCGGCACCAGACGACCCACGCTAACGCTCCCGTGCGCTTCCGTAAACCTTCAGGTGCTTCCTCCGCAAATTTGGCGCTGGCCCGGCCAAGGAGGCACGGTGCACCCTGGGAGTTGTAGTCTTAGTTGTGTTCGGTGGTGAGCTTTGGAGCGGGGACATTGTAGAGACGGAACTCTTTCACCCCATTGGACGCCGTCCCTACTTGACGTCTGCGCGGTCTGTGGTGGCATCGTATCGCCTGGGGGAAGGGAAGTCGACGGGTTCTCGCATTGCTGCCTCTGGGTTTCTGTTTTTCTCTTAACAGGGTTTGGTCTCTGGTTCTCCGTCTTTTGTCTGTGGAACGCATCCTGCCCTCCCCATTCGCTTCCCCAGTCCTTGGATCCAGCCCTGTGGGCATTCACATCGGCCCTCTCACCCCGCCGTGAGCCCCCTCCCGGTCACGGGGCGGGCCTGGCGCGGAGGCGGTAACTATGGAGAACATGGCGGAGGAGGAGCTGCTACCCCTGGAGAAAGAGGAGGTGGCCCAGTTCCTGACCCCGGCCCCGGACTCGGCTCGGGTCCCAGGTTCGGCCCCAGATTCGGCTCCGACTCCGGCCTCGGCTTCAGTCCCAGCCCTTGCCCAGGCTCCGGCCCTGTCCCCGTCCCTAGCCTCTGCCCCCGAGGAGGCTGAAAGCAGTAAGTGCAGGAGGCCCAGATCTCTGCCGCAGACAAGCGAGAAAGTGCGCCTTGCTGGGAAGCAGGGGAGGTCCTTCCACTCTGGGTTGGTTTTTATGGGGAAAGGCAAAGTTTAGGAAAGTGGGGGCGGGGGAATGCAGTGGGTGAGGGTAAAACTGGACTACAGAATGGAAGGAGGCACTTCCATAAACCTCGAGGATAACCCAGTGAATGAAAAGAAAGGGGGAGGCCAGAGGTGCGGCAAGATAGAAGTCAGTGATCAGCATGTTTTTCGTCAAAACAGTGATTTTATGATACAAATATAGCTAGTTACACATGATGTGGTAGTTTCCGTCTCGGTCCCGTCTGCTCTGCTTAACGCTTTCCAAAAATGACCTAATAAATAGAGGCAACCTGTTAAGATCCTAGCTGCCAAGATTTAGAAACCATTACTGTCAACTAGTTTTTGTGTTTAGACGTACACAAAGAAGAGACGGGCTTGTCTCATTATTCCGTTTTTTTTAGACACTTGCTTCCAAAAAGAATTTGAAGCTAATGAGTTGTTTGGGAAGGAGCCTACTAAATTATAGATTTCTTCCCTCACACATAAACACTAATTGAGTTTTGTACTCCATCAAAAGTCGACTGTTAAATTAATAGGCCCATATTATGTGTTTCGAATGTGGTTACATGTTTCCTAAGTTGTGGTTTATTGGGCCATGCAGAAATTTTAAAGATTGATAATTAACACTTAAGGATCATCTGAACATTTTAAAATGTTAGACCTGAAGAAGACTTAACAAATTCTTTCAACAAATTATTGTGTGATCCATAGATTGACCTTTGTACTCTTTCTGAACTACTACTTGAAATAGAACAATTCATCAGCTCTACTATTTCTAGTTTTAGAATAGCTTGAAATAGCTTTACTATTTCACGTTTAATGTTTATAAAACACTTGGATAATAGTAATTATTTGCAATTTTAAAACAACATATAACTGCTGAAAAGAGTAAGGTTGATCATAGGAAAGAAAATGGGCATGCTGCAGGTAGCCCTCTCATCATCATAAAATCAAGAGCTTGCAGGTGCAAAATAAGGCCAGTTATTTTTTTCAATTGCAGCTGTGGTAGACGAGTAGAGGATGTTATACTCTTAAATAACTGGTCTCCTACCTCACGTCAAAATTGTATTTTTAAATTAATGAGAAGTGGTTCCGCAGCCTTAGATAATGCTTTAGGCAGGTACTTTCTCTACCTCCCCACCATTAAAAATAAGGTAAAAATAGTACAGAAAGATTTAACTTACATTTTTCAAAAATTTAAAGTATGTAATTTGAAGAATATATACTGCTTTAGAAACCTGAAGATGTTTTACTAAGATAAACTTGTAATGATTAAGAATCTGAAGTACATTTGAACTATAATACATATTAATCACATTTTTAAAATTAATTTTAGGTGGTCTAGTTGTTCCTTTCATTGCTGAAATAGAATTAAAAATTGATGAGAAAGTAACAGAGGTTATAAAATAGCCTCCTAGCATCTTGGACTCACCTAATTTAATAAAAGATTTGCTTATTAGCTTCTGTATTATTCTGTTACAAAATGCAAGTTGAGGGCTAGGGATTTAGTTCAGTGGCACCACGCCTGCCTCAGAAGTGGAAGGTCCAGAGTTCCACCCCTGGTATCAAAAAAACAAAATGCAAGATGAGTAATTTAAATACAGATTGTTAATTTCTGTTCAACCAGAAAATGATTTCAGAGATGTTTATAGGATATTGCATATTTTTAGACAGATCTTTGACAGTTTTCTTCAATAATGGACCACAGGTTCTCAGTTTTCTAACTTGTTGGTTCCCTTCTCTTATTTTGTAGTATTTAGCAGTTAGAATAATTTCTGTAAGCATATCTTTACATAGTGCTATGCATTTTGTTTTTGCTTATATAGATCCTTGAACTATGAACTAAGACAAAATGTGACTGGTTGGTTTGTACACATGGCTTTTTTTTTAAATTGAACCTAGAGTCTTAGCGCTGAGCTACATCTCCAGCCCTTTTTTATTTTTTTATTCTGAGACAGGCTCTCACCAAGTCAGTAAGTTTGTCTAGACTGGGCTAGAACTTTTTGAACCTCCCACCTCAGCCTTAGAATCCTTGTACTATGGATACACCACCATACCTGGCTATATGGATTCATTTCTTGACTGTTACTGTCAAACCTTAGCAACCAAAAATGTTTTTGCTTTCTTTTGTTATGAGACAGGGTCTCTCTGTATGATTCATTATGGCCTTGATTGAATTCACCATCTTTCTCCCTCAGCCTCTCCAGTGCTAGGATTACAGGCATGTGCTAACTAACACCTAACAAACTTTTGATCAAACAGGGAAAAATTTTGCCTAGTTATAGAAATTGTATCTCATTATAAGTCATTTGAACAATATATAGTATAAGAAGTTAGCCAATATTTATAGTTGTTTTTGCTCATTTAAAAATAAAGTAGAAAATCATCTTTTTTTTTTTTTTGGTTTTTTGAGACAGGGTCTCACCTGGAACTCACTATGTAGCCCAGGCTGGTCTCGAACTCACAGTGATCCTCCTGCCTCAACCTCCAAGTGCTGGGATTACAGGTGTGAGCCACCACGCCCAGCTTGAAAATCATCTTTTAATAAATTTGAGCAGGAATGTATGATAGTGCTGAGTTAAATTCCAATGTTATAAATACAGTATTCTACTGTAGCCAAAAGTCTAATGTTTTTTTTTTAATTTTAACAGACTCCAGTGCCTGCTATATGCACTAGGCACTTAACCATTATTAAAAGGATTAAGGCATAGCCTGGGCCTTCTTACTGCTTATTTGTAAGGAAACAACAGAGTACACATATAAGCGAGTGAAGCTCAACACAGGAAGACAAGTGGCAGTGTCAAAATTCTTGAAAAAATAATTACACTGATTTTCAGTATTTTTCTCTCCTCCAGTTTCATTTGTACTCCCAAAAACCTCACTGCAGCACCATTTTTGAAGGTCACCAGAGATTTGCTATACACTTTATCCAGTAGTCTTTTGATCTTTACAACTGTTTATGCTACATAGTGTTGGAATATTTCTCTTTTACAGACTTTTGCTGTGGCTTCTATGTTACCTTTATTCTCTTTACTATTTACCCTTTCTGAATCTGCCTTCTTAATTCCTTTGACTCAGAGTCTTATAAATACCTACATCCCATCATACCTCACTTTCAGATTTTTGTTCATTTATATTAATCAGTAGTGGGTGTAATGGCCCTGGGTGATCCATCCCACTGTACCTAATCAAGAATATGTCAAACATATTTTAGAAAGACTGAGAAACCTGAAACAACTTATCATTGCCTGAAGAATAAAGTCCATATTAAATTGCAAAACTTTCATGTCTCTCATGATCTATATACTACAATTTTGACTGCATATTTTTTCTATACATTCTATCCCCCCAAACACACTGCATTCTAGCTAAGAGTTCGATAGGAGTGGCTATATATGTCTTTTCCCACATGGTTTTCCTCATGAGGTTTTCAGTTTATAAGGCTAGTCACCAAACCTCTAGTTAGTTGAAATTCTGTTCATACCTTAAGTATCAAATGCCATTTCTTCAGTAAGATGTTCCCAGTCATTTGTTAGAATTAATTGCTCATTCTATATACCTACAACACATTATCTTTACTGCCAGTATTCATTCTACCTTGTAGTACAGTTACAAATTAACGTTAATTTCTCCAACATAATTGAAAGTTCTTTGAAGACAAAAAACATGGCTTATATTTTTTCAGTATTTTGTAAAGGACAGAAACTTTTGTAGAACTATATTAACTAATGGAATGTGAAAGCTGTGAAGTTAAGACATTGGAGTTTCTTTCCAACTTTCCCCCCCACCCTTTGGTACCGGAGATTGAACTCAGGACCTTGTGCTTGCAAGGCAGGCAGTGGAACCACCGAGCTAAATCCCAGGCCCTTTTTCCCAACTTTTTTACATTGTGAAGCACTTTGGTGATTTTGTAAACTAAGCTGTCACAATATTCCCCATCTAGGGTACTAGACACTATACTACAGGAAATAAAAGTGTGAACTTGCATGTGATCTGATCAAATAAAAATGGAAATTAAATTGTTAAAACAAGATTTTTCTAACTCTTAAAATTTTCTTGCAGAGAGACACATCTCAATTCAAAGGCAGCTTGTTGATCTAGAGAAATTAGCTTTTGTAATGGAAGATTTTGATTCTGCCAGTTCGCTGAACTCTGATAATCTTGTTACAGGTATTTCTATATTCCTCCCTTAATTTCTGATGAGTTATCTCTTAGGTCATTAAAAAAAAATTTTGCTCAGAATAGAATTTTTTATTTCTGTTGACCTAAAAGAGTAGGAAAAAAAACACTTCTTTTAAATCCAGGAAACTGATCACCGTCTATGTTCAAAAGTAATATGGTACAACTTAAGACTCCAGGAAATTACAGTCTCACAGAAATTTCAAAGCTATCTATTCTTTAAGTTAGGTATTATATTGCCTACAATTAAGAGATCCCAAAGCAGAGTTTTAAATAATATAGAAGTTAAAATTATTTTACATAAAAGTCTCAAGACAGGCAATTTAGATGTAATATTAGAGTTCTACAATGTTATCAGTATCTCACACTTCTCTTTCAAGATCATCTCGTAGTTTTTTAAAATAAGGAATGCATTTTTATGTGAATTTTTTAAAAAGGAATGTATTTTTAAAAATAAATTTTACCTATTGTTTTGTAGATGAAAGATTTATTAGATTAAAAATTGTTAAAATTAGTGGTTATTACTATATAGATATAGAGGTGTGTGTGTGTGTGTGTGTGTGTGTGTGTATAATTATTTTTTTTT